TATATATGTGTATGTGTATATGTATTTTTAATTAATATTTTAGTCTGAACAGCCTGGACAAAGTTCAACTGCTCTATCTTCATCAAGTTCAGCTGGTTCTACTGGACCAGAATCGGATACACCAAATTATCGAAAGTTGATACACGCTGTCTTAGATGCGAAAAAGTCAGCTCTATTAAGATCACCACAAGTTATTGATTTCCTATCTAGTCGTCAACGTGCATTAACTGATTATAAACGTCAAACAGAATTATTCAGTGTTACAATGAACAAATGAAAACCTGTTGTGAATTATTATCATTATTATATTTTAGAACCAATTGTATCATATGAATGTGTATAAATACGCATATTTTTTTGCACTTTGTATTGCATTTCTATGTGGTTATTATTTTTTTAATTTTTCAAATAAAAACAGTTACAAGATAACGGATAGTAGTTAAAGCCAGCAATGTCCAATTCATCCCGGCTGATATGTAACTGTACCTTCAGTGAACTATAGTCCTATGACCATTAAAACTCGAACCCTATAACCATCGTTCTAAACACCTACACGTCTTTAACTAAGCCACTGAGATACAATAACCGGCTATTGTGTAATCGCTATCACTTGCTATATGTTGAAGTTATTTAGCGTGTTTGATTTTTATTCCGTCGGAAAGCTCGGTCTCTGTTGATGTGTTGACTCCTAGCATAGGGACTCTTCGACGATTTCTGACGATTAACATAATGTTATTCGGTTGGATCGACGGAAAATGTAACAGCAGAACACGATAGTGTTTGTCAGGCGATTCGTTATTTGATAAAGTTGTGCGCAGTTATGGCTGAATGGCATATGAACGATCCCTGGTCAGGTCATGGGTGAGCATTGCTGAAGAATCCTGAACTGGGACGAAATGGTCCGGAAAAGATGGGTGGTTGGGTGAGACGAACAGCCTCACCCCTCAAAAACACCACCGCTACTGCAAATTCATAGCTGAAAGCTTGAAGCCTTATGTTCCACTGGGAACGTAAAGGAAGGTAGAAAAAGAATGGAAAAATACAGAAACCCTAAAAATCTATTATGGATTTATACCCTAACACAGTGCCCGAGTTCTATCCTTATATCGATAATACAGAAAGCCTACAATGAAGTCTTTATTTGCGCCTGATTCTTGTATTATGCTTATTTGCTCTTCCTTTCATATTTTTGTGTTGTTTCACCAGGACTTCTCATTTCTCATTTTAGCCATTTAATCCATTGCTCCGCTATTCACTATTCATACAGAAGATATCATATAAAATATGCTACTTACTAGGTCTTGTCAATACGACACACTACAATATGAAGACGAGGCGTGCACGGAGGTGATTTGATCACCACCAACTGCGTAGTTAACTAACTTCTAAATGTGTTTAAAAATGCTTTCATCTTCGATGTTGAACATATATATACGAGAAGTAGACATTTGTGGCTAGAGCTTCCTGTGTGTTTTGAACAAATTGACAGTTTTCTATAGATCCTCTCCAACGCTAATATTTATTTCCACCTTTGGGATATAGTCCATTTTATATAGGTATACAGTGTATAGACTCACCAAACATTGGCTCAAACCATCAGCTTCGCTTATCGCTTTTTCAGTCTGGGACCTCCTAAGGATTTTAAGCATGTTGAAGATAACAGGCAGGTCGCCTGAAGCACACAATGACACCATGTATTGGTGCCATATTTTCATTTGAAAACCGCTGGGCTTTTCAAAGATAATCCTACATCAGCTAATATTCCTTGTTGCGGAATGCGATGGCTCAACACGAGTAACACATGTTCCCCCCACTCCAATCGATGCAATTAGGCAACTATATCAATTCACTTGTTATCCTTACTTAATACTCTGCTTTAACCTCAGTTTTACTGAATACATTGCGCTACGTAGAAAAAACAATTGAACAGTTATTTCTAATATTTTCAGGTCTTCTAATTATTGAGATTTCCTTAATCTATGTAGAATTCTATTTATTGATAATGTACTAACTGGATGCAATACTGTAGTAAAAATGCAGAGAATTCCATTCTGTATCACAAGTACTGTTTTGGAATAAATCAAATTTTTATTATTATTTCTGATAGCCTAGCTGAAGAGTTAGATAAAGCCAGCACCTCCATAGTGCTCAATCTTTAATTGGCAGCCTGACATTACACACTCACCCACATACTAAAGATTGTGCAAGTAGGCAAATGCCAAAAAGCGAGTGAATACATCTACTCCGTATCATCAACACTCTCTAACCATCAATTCTTAACAACTGGAGGATACCAAATTCGGTACACAAAGCAACTACATTAGTAAGACTCTTGTAATGGTGATGATGGCTCTGGAATTCGCGGGTTTGTTATTACTGTCACTTAAACAAAACAATATACAACGGATTACTCGACTAGTGCTACCACACTGAACAGATACAGAAGGCTGACTGGGAAGGCAAACAAACTGCAACCATCTATTTCGTAATAAATTACTATGATATTAAGACTATGTCTTCACTAATCAGCGTGTACTAATAAACATCCGATGACTTGACCAGTAACCTACGTTTAAGCTAACTGTCTGTTTTATAAATCACGCATAATGTTACCTTCCTTCATAACAATGATAATAACAGAAAAATTGTGTGCACTACATTCGTCAAGTGAAAATTGGTGACAAGTGTGCGGACACTAGAAATATAAGTCGTGTGCTACTTAGCCGGTGGTGGCTAACGAGAGATTCCAAGACACTCATTGTCCATTGGATATTCCTGCATTCACAGCGACTAAGAGTACATTATCTAAATCTCTGTCTAGTTCCAGAATCTATTGTAAAAAAACACCTTCCGATAGATAAAATAAGTATTTGATAAATCCAGTTAAATTCATCACTCACAGTTTACACAGCTTGAGAAGGAAGACAGTTGGATAGTCTACACGTGATTCAAAATACCTGATGTATTAGTGACGTGTTTTGGTCTACTCAGTTCTTTATACCCTAATATTACATCAGCTAACATTGGTGGTTGGGTTTGTCGGTCAACTGAGCTTAATAATCAATTCTGTAGATTGATTTTCTTAACTTATTTAACAATTCGTCTAACCTCATTACTTATTAGTGACCATATCATACCACCTAAAGCGAGAAATTAAACAATAAAACCAATGATTAGGAACTTCTAAGATCTTCACATCTTCGTTCTTTAAAGATTTTTCTCTTAGCTGTGATGTAGGATGAAGCGCACTGGTGGCTAATATACACTTTGATGGAAAGGTCGGTTTTCGACATAGAACTTTGCACACATGTGCGGCAGTTCAAGTAGCCACACTCCATGTAGCACACAAAGCAAGAGAAGAAAGTAGGAGAAATGCATAATATAGATAGTAAACAGAGGTGTGAGACATAGGAATAGTAATAACGAAGAACAAAACAGTTTAATTGGAAATCATAAGTCACAAGGAGTGGATGCATCTTCGCTAGCCATTGAGAACGATTTTGAGCCATGTCACCGATTGTTTCCAACCATTGGTTTTTAGTTTCCCGAGGACCCCAACCAGGAAGTCTACACCTTCCTGCGTGGCTTAGACTAACTGTTGTAGATTTCATTGACTGGTGCCATGTTTTCGTTTGACCGCCGCTAGCTCTTTTCCAACCTGGCCCTATATCAGCTAACATTGCCCCTTGTCGAGGAAGGCGATGACTAGGCATGCGTGCGTAACACATGTCCTAGCCATCTCAGTCGATGTAATTTCACAGCCTCGTCGACTGACTCCCCCTTCTTACCTAGCACTTGACGCCTAACCTCAATATTGATCACCTTATTATACCGCTTCACACGGGAGATAGAACGCAGGCACCTATGATCGAAGACAGCTAATCTCTTCATGTCTTCAGCTCTCAATGGCCAGGTCTCACAGCCATAAAGGAGGACGGAGCGGACTGTTGGGGCAAGTTAACAAATTTAAAATGAGCCTCTTGTTTATCCACTGAGACCTCACCAGCAGTTACTTATTTAGTCCTGATGAAACTATCAAAATAACTGTAATAGACAATACATTCATCCTTCCTTTAGAATAAGAAACGGTGGGTAACAGTCCTGCAGCGCTATTTTACATTCGACAAGGAATGAATCTCATGGCAAATATGCTGAGTCTTCTACACAAGGTACTTAGAAGACTACATTTTGTCAATATTTTCACTTCAAATACTTTATCATCTGGTTAATCTAGATAACCGATAGTTTTTTCTGATTATCAAGCCAATCCCTCAGACACTCCCTAAAATAACACACATTGCCACTAGATCTCTCGATTGACAAATTCAACTGCCTCTTTCAGCAGGTAAGAAATACAACAAGTTTTGGACGTCGTAAAGTATATCAATATGTGTTTCAAAGATAGTAACATACATTCAAAGCTAAATTTTCAGCTAATAAGTATTATTTTGATTTTTGGCTTGAAATTTAGTAGTTAAGAGTCCTATTGTGCAGTTGACAGCGTGGTTTTAACAGACCAGACAACGTTTTTCTATGGGTAAAGTTTCTAGTGATGCCTGCAGAATTAGATGAAGTTTTAGTGACCTGTCTGTGGAATATAGTATTAACTGTGCCATTAGTGTTTGTTCAATGTATCTTTGATACGTCCTCTTCGCGAATAATAGTAATAATGAGACAGTATTTTTCCACAATGGGATGGATATAAAGAATCCTGACAGGAATAATTCAACTGTTTTTAATTAATAATTACAAAGTGGCTATATCATCATTAGGCAAAAACATCCTATTAGATAAAATTCTTTTATCTAATAGCTCAATCATCACATAATTACATACATTTGATTGATGATAAAATTTATAAATACAAATGGAAATCATGTTTGTTTGTTTGTTTTTTCAAATATGACGAGGCGGGGGATTCAATCGAAAGATAAGATACTTTATAAGCATAACTCGTTGATGGCAATCTCTTGTGTATAATAAATGATGTATGCTGACTGCTACATCGATGAATAAGAAACATCTGTTGTAGACGAAGATGATGAGGTTGTATCCGCTGAAGTTGTTGACGTGGAAGTATTCATCATCACCATTGATGATGATGATGACGATGAAGTCGAGTCGAAATCACTTTCGGATAATTGACTTTCACTTTCACCACTTTCTAATTCACTAGATGAATTTTTATCTATTTCAGCTTCAGCTGACATTTGCTGACGACATTCAATCTCTTTACATCGTTCAATTTGTAAACATTGAGGCATAAATAATTCATAAATTTCTTCAATAAAATTATCTAACGTCTTTAATGAAACATGTCGATGACACGGTTCAGAGCATAGAGGACATTTAGGCTTATACTTTAACCATACATGTATACAATAAGTACAAAATATATGACCACAGTGTAGTACACTAGAGAAGATTACAATTTCATGGCATATAGCACAGTGCAATTCTTTCTCTAATAATTGTTTTATCAAAGTGTAAGAAATATTTTTACAAGGTTCTGGTGATTTTTCATCAGAATAATTTAATTCCTCTCTTCGTCTTTTACATTTCATAGACATATTTTATTATTCTCTTAAGGAATATTATATAAATATGTACACAAATGACGGAAGTCGTTAGTGTATATGCCTTCCTGACACTTAAACCAAGTGGATATTTGTGACAGTGAATAAATAAATCGATTGTTTTTTTTAAAATACCCCATGTATATTGATTATTAACTGAGCTAACAAATATCTGGGCTGAATAGTCTCTCTGTTGTCTATATTGAAGTAGGTTTTTCAGTTTATATTAGTTTGTTCATTAACGAACTGTTAGCTGGCGGTTGAAGGCAATCGGCAGAAAGTGAATTGCGAGTCCGAATAACTCAGTGATAGCGTCTTTGACTGCAAGATTCACCCGGTGACACGGGTTCAAATCTCAGAAGAGATATGAGTTCCTAAAAGAATTCAGATACGCCTTGCTGACTGGTGAGTTCCAGCCTAAGTGAAGCAAGGCTACCTGCCTCCAACTATGTACTAACAACAATTAAAAATGCATCGTGATGGCAAGCCACCTAACATGATGGTTACGTAGCAAACATGACTGACAGAATTCAGTCTGCACCCAACAAAAGACTAAAAGAACGATACTAGTTACTATCCGACCAAAATATTAACTATGTTGCGCAAAAAAGGAGCCTGTGGGTTAGAAATAAATGTACTTCGTATACGTCTTTAACACAGTTTAAAAACTGGTTAATCTAGCAATAGTGAAGACTTACAAGTGCTGGTGTGTAGGGATTTTATTCATAACAAGTTTGATCACGAACTTGGAGAACCATAAAAATCCACAGAATACTGGACAGTCATTTAGTCCTTGTGTGGGATTCTTCGATTCTTGCTGGAGCCATGAGGATGTACTCGTGAGGAGTCTCTAAGAAAGACGAAACAGCTATCCAGTACTCCCTAGTTTTCATTAGGTCTCTAACTGAAATTAATCAATAAGAAGACGTAGTTTATCTGAAACGTGTAATGTGCTTTCACAACACATGCCCGACACTCTGATCACGCACGTACTTGTCATACACATTTATATGGAAGGCAAGAGAGCATGAATTGTTACACTATAGGTCAAATTGCTTACAAGTCAAGGTAGAAAGATGAAGTAAGGGTGTGGCGTAAGAAAAAAGAAGGAAGAGACTGAGAATATCATTAAGTAAATTGAGACTTCGTTCTAAGTTGGATTACCAAGGTAGGTTCAAATTAAAAGCCCACAATTTCAGGATATTCAAGACTGTTTTAAGCCCTTTTATAGTCAAGGCTCCAACTAATTTAAGTATGTGACCAGACCTTGTTTTATATATGAGTTTAAAACCATTAATGAAATCAACCTTATGAACCGTCACTACAGATGATGTTGGACATCTGTTTCTGGCATCAGTTTTATCTAGTGATTTTATTTGTTGTTGCAGACACTTTGGAATATGTTCTGTAACCCTACAAGAATGAGACCGATAGGTCCTCCCTGTGTACATGTGTCCACACATACATGTAAACTGGTAAACGCAATGGGATGTGACACTATCGTTCGGCTACTGTGAGGGTTTACAGGACAGCATAGATCTCGCCTTCTCTAATAACTACCGCATTGAGTTTTTATTTAGTGACAAGACTTTGTTGGTCACCTCTGAACGGCAAGGATCTATAAACATCCTTTTTGGGAGCTGACTGGACCAATGGGGCTCTTTGTTTGACACTTCTGTAACGCTAAATGAATTTCAACGGAAAGTTGTTATCTCACATTATTTTAGTGAGGTGTTTTGTTTATTCTTCAACGGTGTCGGCTGTAGATATAGTGGGAAGTCGCGACCAACAGGTTCTACCAAATTAGGTGAGAGGATACATATTCACCAATGACAATAGTTGGCGGTTACCCTATATATTACGAATCTGAAGTTAGAATTGTTGGGACAATGGATCCTCTTCCATTCTCTGAATGTTCAAAGAACTCTTCTTATAATCTGAAGGTCGTGGTTCGAGCTTTAGCTGGGTCGAGTGAGTGCTGATGGAGAATCCCAAAGAGGGACGAAACAACACTCCAGTTTTTAGTGGTCCTCTGACTGAGGTCAGTTTTTGTCCATACGTGTACCCAAGAAGAAAATGTTGCGACACGATGAAAAGAAACGGATGTATCTTACATATCTATGGATGTTTCGCGGTAAAACAGTATTACACCGAGCTAACCTATGAATGCTTTGAAATATGCTTCATTTCTAAGCAATGATTTTAGTGACACTATATGGTCAATGTCTGGTGTTAGCGCTGTACAGCAAATTAACAGAAGGTAAGACCCGTGTACTGAAAAGTCTCGAATTTTTTATTGAATCTGTGTAGATTTAGCTTTCTAGTCCTTGTTCACTTGTGATTATATAATATAATATGAGAAGGTACATTTCCTCAAATTAAAACAATGAAAGGTAAGATTATCGACGTAACCATTTTCAACATTAGAGTCTACCAGTACAGGAATAAACGGGAGGCCTAATTCATTGGAAGAGACTAAAATATACTAATCAATATTTTAAACCAGTGGTTGGACAATTCATCTTCTAGTCGGGCGACTATCAAATTTCACCATCTTTTTCTTACTTTGTTCCTGGGTCTATAGCCAACCATTCATATTATTTTTTTCACTGCGCAAGCCAAATTTTAATAGGTTAGAAATATACAAGAATTTGACTGACTGACTGACTGATTGGTTTCAACATAGAACTTTCCACACATGTCCACCAGTTCCAGTTGACACACTCTTTCTCCAACTACTACACACAAACCAAGAGAACACAGTAAACAGAGATTTAAAACACATATAGATAATAAACAGAAGTGTTAGGAAGTGAGGGAAAAAGAATAGTAAGTAATGTGGAAGAACAACAGAGTTTTATTGCATATGACAAATCACAACGAGTGAACGCATCTGCACTAGCCAACGTGAACAACAATTCTGAGCCATATCACCATCGACTGTCTACAGCCTCCATTCGTTCTTACCATCCCGAGGACGCCAACGAGTCACCAAGTCTACACACCTACCTCCTTACGTGGCTGGCTCAAACTAACTGTTGTGAATTTCATTGACTGATGAAGACATGTTAGTTTTGGTTTGACCACCACTAGCTCTTCTCCAACCTCATCGATTTTATGCCAGCTAAAATTGCTCGTCGAGGAAGGCGATGATTACGCATAAAATGTAGTAACCATCTCAATCGATGTAACTTTATAACCCCGTCTATTGATTTCCCCAACGGGTTGATCTCAGATGAAATCTCAACACGGATACAGAGGGCTGGTTTCGCATATGCCAGTTTACGCCGTCTCTGGCGTTGACGTGATATCCGACTATCGACCAAAGGGCGTGTGTACTGCTCAACAGTCCGCTCCGTCCTCCTTTATGGCTGTGAGACCTGGCCATTGAGACTGGAAGACATGAAGAGATTAGCTGTCTTTGATTATAGGTGCCTGCGTTCGCACTATCTCCCGTGTGAAGTGGTATAATAAGGTGAGCAATATTGTGGTTAGGCGTCAGGTGATAGGTAAGGAGGGGAAATCAATCGACGAGGCTGTGAAGTTACACCGATTGCGATGGTTAGGACATGTGTTACGTATGTTTTGAATGGCGTTTATCATCGTTAAATGCGATGAGTCCTCGGCAGATTTACAAAGCTACATTTATAGTCTGGTCTTCAGTATCAAGACTTCATTATTCCCGCTAATAAATGTGTTCGCTGTGGTTGACCACAGTTGAAAGGCTGTTATAATGCTTGCACCGTCTAAGTTCTTCTTTAAAGTTTATGCCTCAGGGACTTGGCGTGGGCATCAAGAAAAGCATTCCTAAAAGGCTACTACTGTAGACCTTCATCAATATTGAAGATTAGATTAACCAAAAAGGATAAATAACAAGGAGCTCTGAAAACGAACCAACGAATCTATTACCCAACAAATATACAGAGGGATACGGAGATGGATCGGACCACACTCTGAGAAGACCGTTGAGAGTGAAATCCCGCACTCGCTCACCAGACCAGTGCTCAGCTGGAACCCAAATCGGAAACGACAAGTTGATCGTAGGTCGAAGGGTGACATGGGGGAAATCGTTTTACAAGGAAATGAGAGGTTATGGGTAATCGTGAAGTCAGCTAAAGAGGAATGTAGGGAATACGATGTGATGAAGATTTGCAGTAGAAATCTTATGCCCCCACCCCGGAACTCAACAGAATAGTAATAATGCTAATAACCAAAGTAGTGAAAAAACAGTTTCCCCATCAAATTTACGTTTATTCTTTTTAAGCACACTACACAAATCTATCCGCCAAAACTACTTTACCAAAATATATAAAATATAAATTAAGAAGCGAATAAAAAAAACCACTCGATGACTTCTTGTCATCAAAAGTAAGAACCTTGTACGTTTACACTTATATACCAACAAGTTATTAAGCCTAGCACAATTACATTCACGAAAAAGCTGAAAAGAGCGACAACATTAACTCAACTTAATAAAAGGAATGTGGTGACACGTGAATCTTCCGCCAATCGTCAAACATTTCATGAACACACTTCAGATGAAGAAGATCTTCAAAACAGGACAAAATCAAAAGGCGTTTACAGAAAAGAGCACTTGAAGATAAGATATATATGCAGAATGCTTAGAAAGAAGGTACTTCCGCTAAGTTTGAGATTATCATAAAAATAATGAAATCAATAAAAATCAAAAAATCAAAAAAAAACAGCACCAAAGAAAGACAAAATCTGAAGACACTGGTTGTTGCCCTACTTGTTTTCATTATTGTAAGCAAAAACAACAACAAAAATAGAAACTAAAGATCGTAATGGAATAAAATACCCTTTGAATAATATTAAATTAATTAGGCGGCGGGTGGGGTTAGAAATAAAAGCAAACTATTAAAATTAAAAAAATAATTAAGTCATGAATTAACTAATTAGTAAAAGTGAATTGTAGTCAAATAAATATCACAGCTGTGTTTGGGGGTAGTCAAAAAGATGCATTCCATATATGTGTCTATATGCTTCCTTCATAAGAAGTTTGTTGTTCCCCAACTCTGCACAACTGGACTAGCATTACTCGCATTATCATCAGTAATCATCATATTAGTGTTTCTATTACTTTCATCAATTTCATCTTGTTCATGGATATTAGTTATTTCATGCCGATGTTGTTGCTGCTGCTGTTGGTTTTGTTGTTGGTATTGTTGTTGCAGCTGTTGTTCATCCTCTTCCATGTGTGCACAATACGAATAAATACCATACAGTACACGTAAGATGGCACTTGTATCACCGGCTACAATTTCTTCAGGTTTTGCTGGTGGTTCAACCATTCCAGCGGCTTGAATCAATTCAAAGCCTAGTTTAACATTTGCTAGACACATATCCTCTGTTGTCGGTGTTGGATGATATGCATAAAATGGTACAAAATAGCCTTCAATAAGACCCATTAACAGGATAAGTAAAACTCCATCTCTAAACTAAAGCATTAAGATAGGAAAATAAGAAAAAGTAAACAAATACAATGAGTATATATTTACAATAATAACTGATTGATTTGGTGTCAATTATTAGACCTCATCATGGACCGATATAACAGTTAGAGAGACCGCTGAATACCAGGGAAGCATTGGACAGCTACTTCGTCTTATTTTGGGACTCCTTAGCAGTGTACGCCACGACCCCATCAGGGATCAAAATAACCGACTAACTGAATTCAACATAGAACTTCTCACAGATGTGAACCAATTCCAGTTGACACACTCTCCCTCCAACTACCACACACAAACCAAGAGAAAACAGCGAAGAGAGATTCACAACGAGTGAATGCATCTGCACCAGCCATTCACAACGACATTTCTTAGCCATATCATCACCAATTGTCTACACCCTTCAATGGTTCTTACCATCTCGAGGACGCCAACCAGTCAGTAAGTCCACACCTACCTCCCTACGTGGCTGGCTGACGGGCTCAAACTGTTGTGGATTTTATTGACTGATGAAGACTTGTTAGTTTTGGTTCGACCATCACTAGCTCTTTTTCAACCTCACCGATCCTATGTCAGCTAACATTGCCCGTCGAGGATGGCGATGGTTAGGCACAGAAGGTCGTAGCCATCTCAATCGATGTAACTTCACAACCTCGTCTATTGATTTCCCCTCCTTACCTAGCCCTCGACGGAGGCCTAATCTCAATATTACTCACCTTATTGTACCACCTAACATTGCAGATAGAACGTAGGGATAGACTTCGGGACCCAGACCAAGCCCATCGGTCATTCGGCCACTTCGGCAGGAATCCCATAACTCGTGATATAGCGGTGTCTTCACCAATGACTAAGATGAGCAAACTTCAACGTTGGAATTAATCATTTCAATTTCGCTGAGATTTTACAAATACAATTTTGTAAAAAATTCAACGACCTTAGGTCTCATAGCCTGAAGGTCTCAGGTTCGATCCGTGGTGAGGTTTTGGGTGCACACACTGATGAAGAGTCCCAAAATAGGACGAAACGGCTTTGTCCCGTACTTCCTGGTTTTTAATGATCTCTCTAGTGGTATACTGGTCTGTGACGGAAATTAAGTTAATTCAAATTCTTACAAATCCTATAATCTAAATACTTAATTGGTTAGTAAAAGACAAAGTTAAGAGTAATCTTAAAAGAACCTTTAAACATGAAGTTCATATTTACAGCAATTAATTGTAGTCACTTGCTTATCATTATCTAAAAAAAATAAAAATGAAAACATTATCGATACTGGGGCGGTTTAACTTTTAAAGTTACTCTATATTTCCTTTTGACTGTTTTATTAGGCCTAAAAGCTCCATATCTGTTGATATGTCAGCAACTCATACGGTCGCTTCCATGATGTCTAAGATTAATATCATGTTATTTGGATACTGGTGGCTAGTAATGGAAGCGAAGATGTGGTTTTGGTCCTATTTAAGACTTGTCAGGTGGATACACTTATATTCCCATTAAGTGATGGTGCACTCCTTACCAAGACTCGAACCCAGCACCCGTCGCTTAAAATGCTAATCAACTGAAACAAACAACGACTGATAGGCATTGCATAATTGATAACGCTCTAACGTTTGAGACGATGCGTGCTATATTCGAGTGTTATCAGGAACACCATCCCACTCACTGTGGCGCAGGTACATCCAGATGATGAGTCCCAAATAGAACTAAATGTGCATCTTGGATTCTACTGCTAGCTACCACTCACCTAATTGCATAACTGTCAACACTTACAGTCCTAATAGTCTTTCTGTTCCCTGAACTCTTAGTTTCCGTTCACAAGGCTTACAAACTCAATATAGGCGTTATCTCTTATTCAGTGCAGGTTCTCCGCTGCAAGAAGACTTTTGCGCCATAGGTAATTGATTCAATCGAACACAAGTCATCTCCTTAAAAATTGACTTGCTTGACAATTTAGCTTGATAAACAGTTACTTGGAAAATGAGTACTTGTTATGGAGTGACCGAGTATAAATATGACTAACGAGATACAACGGACGATGACGGAACGACTGGTATTGCTTATTAGTTAAATTCCCTGACCCGAAGAGTAGATTTAGAAAACCCACACGTTGACGAAGGGTATGCACATTCTTCCAACAAGGGAAAAATAACTGTCACACACACAAGAATGTGTATGGAAAAGTGTCAATCAATTGTACAGTACAGTAGTATAAGAAAATAACTAACATACATAAACCAATAAGATAGATAACTAGTTTTCTAAGTACCAACTGGATTCTGATTGCCTGCAGTGTCATATGACAATGTGACACGGAGTAAATCGAATATCTCTCATCTCGGTATCAGTTTCTTTTCAGATCTCTGTTGGTTGTCTCATATCCTGTTGGTTTCTAAGGAGATTTTTCGTTTGTCTTATTACATCAAGAAGTTGAAACTTCCTGTCAGCATAACTTAACCTCTTCTCTAACAATTTACCAATTCATGTATTCCATCCATTTTCCTTCATCATTCGCCATTATTCTTCCCTGGACTTCTCAAAAAAGACTTTGTCGCAGTCAGGGTTAGTGGTGTGCCTCTGACTCAGATGACTGACATTACTGTCAATAGGGACTTGAATTCTTGCGAGCATTTAGCTAATGTTATCTAGCCTGATACTGGATATCCTCTTTATTCTTAACTTTTACCTTGCATATATTCGGGTAAAAGCGGAAGAAACTTCATAAGAGTTTACGCTGGTACAACTAAATATAAAAATTGTGTCATACCATATTTAGCACGGGTTTCGTGTGAAGAGAGAGTCAGATGTCGGAAAAGAACTTATAAACTTTTCAAATCAGTAACTGAACTGCAAAGTATAAGCAAAGATTATTATTACTATTATTACATGTATTATCTATGATATTATCTACTTATAATTCATTATGTTTCCATAAACATTCTACTTATAGTGGTTTCTTTATTAGTATTATTATTGTTATTATTTATTTTAAATTTTATGTATGTACATATCTATAAAAAAGGAGCTAAATTGTTGCAATGAGTATAAAAAGAACGCTGAAAATTCTATTCCTTATAATTATTATTGTTTGGAATAAAGTGATTATTATTACTATTATATGAATTTGAATCAACCAGTTAGAAAGTAGATGTATCCCTTTTTTATTCACGTTCCAGTGGAACATAGGGTTTCAAGCTAGAGGCCTGAAGTTTATGTAGCAGTGTTTATTTTTACAGGATGGGGTTGCTAGCCTCATGCCCAACTTTCCCTCTTTCCCAGCTTTTATTTCTGGCTTAGCGGAGATCGAACCCCCGACCATGTGCATGATCGGCGAGAGTCCTAACCGCTGTGCCTATTACCGTTCAAGAAAGCCCTCACACCGCAATATAAAGAGAAGCTATCAATTTGCTCATGAAGGAAAAACCAATTATTCTGATGCATGTTTGTCTAGTCCCGACCGAAAGCTGCTACCTTGATGTGGTGGTCGGGCTTGAACACCGCGATGACCCAACGAGCTACACTGGCTGGAACTTATGTTCCTGTAGGTCCTAGCATGCCAGAAAGGTTGTTTGGTTAGCGGTTAGACAAAAAGCAGCTACCCAATCCAATACTATGATTCAAACAAATTCACAAAATATCATGCTGGATTGGTCGAGGCCCGGATTAACAACGACCGCGCTTCCTGCTGCCGTGTCACAGGGCAGAAGTGATAAATATGCTACTGAGACACACCAAATGAAAAATAACAAACAAAAACAGGTCGCGTGTGACCGGCCTCAAGCAGCTGTCCCCTGGGCTCTGCGGTCACGCAACACTCTTTCTGTTTCAGGTTCTCGAAGAATCAATCAAATTCCACGGTGTGGGCAGCCGGGAAGCAACAAACGCCCACACGCTTCCAAAAGCACACAGACAGACACATGTTTGCCTAGTAGGTTGGGTTGTGTATAGGTACCCTGGATGTGTGTGACCCGCACTAACGATGTCTTTTATACAGTTCTCCAACTAAAAGTGGAATACGTGATAAAAATACTAACCAAAATTTAACGTTTCACACTACATCTAATAATTACCAAAGTTGATATAATCCAACCTTCAAAGTGAGAATTAAAACTTACATCTTTGGAGAGATCAGTCACATGGAAGCCAACTTGTTCTAAATACGCATTGATAAAGGCCACGACAGCTTGTAAAACCATATGATGTTCAGAGATGGCATCGAGTGGATTGCCAGCTTCATAAAAGAATAGCAAAAAAAAGAAACATACATTTCACTGCAAACTAATAAATGTATATCGCACGAATTGGAAGTGTAATTAAAGAAGGAAAGAGTGAATTTTCATACTCTACCCCTTAAGATTGAATAGACGGAGACAATTTGGATTATGGGTATAAGCACTTAAATAACTTCATACAGTAAGTTCCAGTTTCAGACACTGCTCTTCTTGAAACAGTGAAGATTTGGAGATCAAGTGAATGTCTTAAGGTAGGCTGGTTTTAATTCCACAATTTTTATTATCATTTTGGACAACAACTTCATCGGTAATTTCAATGTGAAGTAAAATTTAGAAATTCCCTGTGGCTGACGCATTTGTCACTCTCCATGACTTTCACTATGAATTGTTGTCTCCAGAGATACCGTTGTGATTGCATCCAGTTGTTTTGATGTTGAACCTCTGATTCATCTGGAAGTTGACTTTTTAATCGTGTGACCTATTCTTTTATTGATTGGTGAATTTGATCCATATCCATAGGTCTCTGAATTGAGAATTTATCTGAGTACCAGGCCTCCAGTTTGGAAATCTTCTGCACTCAGAATAAACAACAAGATTCGGACTTTCAAAACAAGTGTGAAGTCAATCAGTTCTTCTATGTGGGTTAGAAACTTGACACGCGTGTCATGAATAGCATTTCCAACAGGTTGCCTTGGCTCGCTCCAAACTGAAGATCAAATGGTTGGCCAAAAAGAATTAGCAACAAGAAACTACGGGAACAAACTAACCAATAGTCGATTGCCCAATAAATATGCAGAAGAAAATGAAGATGGACTAGGCACATGCTGAGGAGACAGTCGAATAATATCCCCCGCCAGACACACTCTCGAGTGGAACAAGAATCGGAGACAAAACGGTGATCCAAGGGTGACATGGAGGAGACCGTGCGAGAAGATGCGAGACTATGGGCAATCGTGGGCCAGGATAAAGAGAACAGCAGAAAATAGAACAAAGTGGAGACGTGTTATTGAAGCTCTATATTCGAATCGCAACCCAGGGGAATAATAATGTTTTTTGAACCACTTAAGAGATGCGGTAAACACATTCACCTGGTTTACTCGCTCGAACACTCATTTTAGCCTTTTGGAAGACCTCAACTGTTGTGCAACAACTCGATTGCCTTTTATCCCAGATAGACCATTCACACCGTCTATACATGATCATAGATGTCTACGATCTCTTTCTCACGTTAGGTGGTATAATAAGGTAAGTAATGTTGACGTTAGGCGTAGAGTGTTGGGCAAAGAGGGAAAATCAATCGACGAGGCTTTAAAGTTACATAGATTGAGATGGCTAGGTCACGTGCTGCGCATGCCTAACCATCGCCTCCCCCACCCCGACGGGCATTACTAGCTGATATAGGTGCAGGTTGGGAAAGAGTAAGTGGTAACCAAACAAAAACATGGCATCAGTCCATGAAATCCTTGACAGTTAAACTGAGTCAGGTAGGGAGATACAGACTTCCGGGTTGGGGCCCTCGGGACTCTAAGAATCAATGGCTGGAGACAGACAATAGGTGACATGGCTCAAAATCGTTGTCAATGGCTTACGCAGATGTATTCAGTCTCATATTCCTTTCTACTATTACTCATTCTGTTTCACTCTTATACTTGTCAAAACTCTATTGATTCTCTTCACTTATTTTCTTGTCTACCTTTGTGTGTTATTGGGACGTGGCAACTCGAACTGCTGCACTTCGGTGCCAAGTTCTATGTTGAATCCTGACAGACAGAAACAAACCGTTTATATATATATATATATATGTTGGTTGTTCAGCGGTAGGACACTCGCCGACCACGCACTTGGTCCGGGGCTCGATCCAGGGCCGACTCACTTCTAGACTTCGGTAAGCCGGTAGTAAGGCCGGTAAAGAGGGAAGGTTGGGCATGAGGCTAGCAACTCCACCCAGTAAAAATAAAACCACTGCTACCGAAAATTCAAAGTTCTAGCTTGAAGTTCTATGATCTATGACTACGGAGGTAGAAGTGTCTACTCTCCTCAAATCTGGATTTATTTTACGTTGTGGAAATGAAATGACCTTATTGAACTTATTAACCTTTGGTCAGTCGTCAACCAATCGCAACAATTTATTCTCCTCTGACCTAGTCGAACATTAATGTGACTAAGAATGTATAAATATGATGTTTTTCCTTGTTAAAAAATGTCCGTTACCCAACCTGTTATCTTCTCCCGTTACACTAGTATCCCAACAATTTTAAATGAAATCGTTTACCCTGACAACCAATTTAGTATTGTTATTATTATTTTATTCCCTTACGTTCCGAGTGGAACATAGGGCTTCAAGCTAGAGCTTTGAAGTTTCGGTAGCAGTGGGTTGTTTTATTTTTACAGGGTAGGATTGCTAGTCTCACAGCCAACCTTCCCTCTTTACCGGCCTTACTACTGGTTTACCAAAGTACAGGAGTGCGTTACCCGAGGATCGAATCCCGAACGACTTGCGTGGTTGGCCAGCATTATACCACTGAACCACAGACGCACGATTCAATACACAAAAGCCTATTAATACGCCTACCAAGACTGTCACAAGTCATTCACAATCATATTAGTGAGCTTTGAGTAGGCTATGACTCTCGGCTATAGACATCAATAAAGATTATGCTATAGAAATAACAACATCCATAGTAATGTTCATATAAGACTAGTGACAGAGGGCACGTTGAAAAGAAAAACTGACTCGTTCTTTAAAAATGGAATAATTGTAATTACACACATGAAAGAAAAATCAACTAACCAGGTAGTTTTTCAGTAAACTCCGTGATGTATTCTCTTTCATAACGATACTCCAATTTGCCGTTTAATTTACGAGCAATAATGACAGTGAGAAAAATACCCGGTTGAAATCGCATTTGTGGTTCGAATTGACGAGCAATAGCAACCAGTAGACGTAGAATAGCAACTAAATCCTTCTGATGAATACGTTCAGCAGTCCATCGTTGACTAGCCCAACTTTCAGAAACATGAAGTATCTCATTGACTGTTTGTAAAACACCCTAACAGGAAAAAAAGGTTAAGTTTAATACATTCTTTTGCATTTTACACGTAAACGTTGAAGTTGTCCAATCTCGGATTGTGTTAATTCAGGATGATCTAATTTTATCTTGGCTAATTTTTCAACTAATTTTTGTAAAAGTTGACCATCATATAAGTCTTCTTGAATATCTCTGACAAGAATACGTTGTTCAGAGAGTTCATTATTAATCCATGTTAATAATTTTTCCAGTAGATTTTTAACACTTTCAGAATTCTGTGAACACAATAAAATTTTTATTAAATAACGGGAGCATGTATACTTGAGAGGATTTTTCAATGAATGAACGTTCTTGTCCTTCTTCTAATTGATATTGTTTAGGATCATCTGTGGACAATGCACTCACTGCCATTTCAATGGCTTGACGACTTTCTTTAGTAAGTTCTTCAACTTCTAAACGAGCTTTTTTCTTTCGTTTAAATGTATCCAATTTTGAAAGAATAGAATCATGACTTTTTAATCCTGCTAAGGTGGTCATTGTGAAAGGGATTAGGTGTACTGAAAATAACAAAACAAAAAGACGAACCACTTAGAAAAATTTGGTTAAAGATAAGTAAAAAGATTATTTACGCTAATATGAAATTTGAAAAATGAAGAACACAGCTTCGGTTCTAGTAAAATCAGTAATGTAAAGCAGTTACCTGGTACAGATCTTTCTGTACTACGCTATGAAGAGTTGTCCCGGGTAAATTATATGAGACTGGATTAAAATCCTCAAATTAACTGGCTGCAATTAAAGACGCCTAAAGACATTTAGAAACATCCCACTTCTATTCTATCGTCACACAAGTTAAAGGTTTCAACAAAATGGTGGAAATCTCAGTAAAGTGGTAGAGCGTGTTGACAACTTACTTTACTTATTTCAGAAGTCACATCAGCCAACGCTAGCGGGTTGGTCGCTAAAGAAATCTCAGCACATATGCAGAAGGCTCATTTGGTATTTGCCAACTTGCGCCATCTTTGGCTTGGTAAACGTGATATCCGGCTGGCTATCGACCAGACGACATCAGGTTTGAAATCATTGTAATCTACAGTATATCTTAAGCATAAAACAGATGCTTAATTAAAAGGCGTGTAGATCAGTTGAAACGTTTTCGTCACACAAAAGTACCTGTATAGTTCTAAAAAACATGACACATTAGAAAAAAGATGCGGATTCTCAGTAGTCAGAATGTGCAAACGTTCAATGTGTCCAGTCTTAAGTCTGTGATTGGTTAATTCATCCACATGACAAACATTTCATACCATTGTTATTTACGCGAAAACAATTGTACATTATTGGCTTTGTAGACTTCTTAATTTTAACAGTATTAAACTGAGTTATAATGTAGATGAAATCGGATATTTAATATGAAATTCTCTGAAGTGGATGCATAAATCTATAGCTTTCTGAAAGTTACACGAAACAACTAGCCTTGGAATATTAATGGCGGAGATTACGTAACTGAGCAGTTAATTGATTACCCATCTGGTCACTGAAGTCACATTCCAAAGCTTGAGTCTGGTTTTGGATGTCTAATTTCAAAGGCAAGCCAAGCTGTTGTTTTGCATATTTCCATATAATTTTAGATATCCAAAAATGTTTATTTGCATACCACATCCTTCTATGTATCATCCTTGCGCAGGTGCCCTCCTAGAGAAGTGGCACATTGTTTTAACCAATCTAACGGGTCCCTGGTCCGAGTCCCACTCCACCTACCCCAGCCTAGGCTACTGGTTAGTATCACCAGCTCTCACACAACGGATGTGCCTCATAGTCCGATGCATGGAAAATCTTTTCCGGATAATTGAGCCCTAAAAAGAGTGCCGTGCTAATTGTCTTTGTATCATTTCAGTTCCAGAGGATTGCCATTACCCTTGATTTATTGGACAAGACTACTGTTTCGGATAATCCATTAACAGGAAGTATCCCTAAGAATTTCACCACCATCTTGGAAAAAAACTGTGGCAAACATAACTTTTAAAGAGTCAGAAAGTACGACTTATGACGACTGTTCCAAACCAGCAGTTGTGTTTGTTTAGCATACTCTGGTGTAGAACGACTATAGATATGAGATTGGAGAGATTTTACAATTCAGTGGCTTGAGAGGTTATACATTAGGTTTCTGAGTTGAAATCAGTGGTAGCCATACCGCAGATTTATTGTTTCTACTACTAAAATCTACACAAAATGTCGATTACTGTTGTGAATTCATTCTATGAAGGTTATGTTCATTACCGTACTAATTAGCCACTTCGTTGCCCCCCTCTGTTTATATCCTAATATTATTTTCGCGTTGTGATAGAATTCTGTACGTTGCCCCAATATACTTTTACACCTGACTCAAACTCTCAGTTTAAGCACACTTTACTGTTTGTAGCACACTTAACAGTTCCTGATGAAATTCATTGTTTGCTTCGTCTGGATGATACTTATTGGGTGTGTGGACGGTGATTACCAAAAGCTCTGCAGAGGTACCACGATGTCCCCTCGTGCATACGAATCTATTCAAGTTTACAGCAACACAAGTGTGTTTGCTACCATATAGTTGAGCAGTAACATTTCCGCTATTTTTATACCAGCAGGTCCACCAGAATAAGCCACAGAATCTTTTGCACCTATCGAGTGGATCTCATAGATTCACCATACTGGACATTTGAAGTTAAGCAATTAACCATTCCAGAATGTTCTAGGAACATCAGGGAAATACAGCTTCTAAACGTACCTCGAGACGCCACAGTTATGAGTAGCGATGTGGGTCGACCAATTTCACTTAGGCTTTGGAAATTGTTAACTAAAATTTTTGAAGGCGGTCGAGTCATGAGAGCTGTGCACATGAAACCTCAAGTTCTGTGAGTAAGTGCAGTTGCAAAGAATGCTTGATGCTGTGATTCTCATTCTAAGTAATGAAGTTATGTCTCATTACTCGTAATATTTGACTTTCTGTCAGATGAGTTGCAAGCTGGAATCTCAATCACTTTTCACTAAGATTAAAATATGTAGTCGGCATCTTACGTCTTAACAAGATAAGTGTTTCTCAATCCATATCACGTGAATCTGTATGTAATTATCAAACTTAGTGAAATTTCCGTCTGATTGACTGCTTTCAACATAGAACTTTCCACAGATGTGCACCAATTCCAGTTGACACACTCTCCCTCCAACTACCACACACATACCAAGAGAAGACAGTAAAGAGAGATTCAAAACAAGCAAGTGAGGGAAAAAGAATAGTAAGTAATGTGGAAGAACAACAGAGTTTTATTGCATATGACAAATCACAACGAGTGAATGCATCTCACCCAGCTATTGACAACGACAATTCTGAGCCATATCACCATCAGTTGTCTACACCTACCTCACTACTTGGCTGGCTCAAACTAACTGTTATGAATTTCATTGTCTGATGAAGACATGATGGTTTTGGTTTGACCACCACTAGCTCATTTTCAACCTCACCGATTTTATGTCAACTAACGTTGCCCGTCGAGGATGGCGACGGTTAGGCACAGAATGCTGTAACCATCTCAATCGACGTAACTTTCACAACCTCGTTAATTGATTTTCCCTTCTTACCTAGCACTCGACCGAGGCGTAACTTTATATTACTCACTATATTATACCATCGAGCACGTGAGATAGGATACAGACACCTATGGTCAAAGACAAACCAGTCCTGTAGAACTATATTACGATTTACAGGTATGCCACATATTCTCAGCGTTCCAAAGACTTCCCGATTTTAGGGAGGACCAACAAGTTTGTAAGTCACTCTATGAAAAGTTGAAATCAAAGAATTACATCAGTATGTATATAACATAAGTAAATAATAACAATGATAATCAGTATCAACGACAATTATTCCTGGTTGCCAAAATTTTACACCACTTTTGTCGACGAGCATTTACACATCTGCGGGTGTGAATAGAGTGCCATGATTAGAATAATATACTTCACTGATACTCCCATGAAAAAACATCGTCGCCTCTGAAACAAAAGTCATGTGCCGCCCTTTAGCCAAGTGATATGAATATTTACAAGCCAAAAGTGAGGCATTGGAAATTGTCGTGGAAGTCAGGCGCCTAAATAAATATCGTTCCTGACCATAAAGTTTTGTAACCCACTTAGTTTCAACAAGTCCCCAAATAAATCGTAGCCTTATAAACAAAACGGTGGAGAAATTATATCAAAGCAGAATATTTAAGCAGATTATGGTCCTTTCTTAAACTAATTTTATGCTCTATTTATAATATTAATATCTGGATGACCAAAAGCAATTATAGACATTCTTACTGCAAAATTCAGTCACAAACAAATAACATCTTCACTAGTGAAGGATTTTTTTGATAACTCAGTTATCTAAGGTGGAACTCACTCACTGAGAACAACTAACTGCTTAAAATATTGGCTGTCTTTATCAGTAGTCTTACATCCCTCAAGATCACACAAGTGAGCATAAAATGTTATACAAAAACTAGTGTTCCATAAGTGACCTCAAATAACCTACAACATATGGAAAACTGGATAATTTCTCCGCCTCTGTTTCGGATTGGAGAGCACACAAGAAAGTTCAACTCAGCTCTTCTCTCAATAAACCCAGCAGACATGGCATTGTTTGGTGTATTATATTAGCAAGGGATTGATTTTTAGTTGGCTACGAGGAATAATACCTCAGAAAATACGGTTACGATTTCGAAAACATATAATACCGTAGACGGTTCCGATCAAATCCCTAATGATCTTGTTACTGATTATCAGCAGATAATTTACAGGTGTAATCAAGTGACATAAATGAAAATTCTGATGCAGAATAAGGGTGAAGACAAACACTAGTCGCCACCAAAAGTCCTTGAGCAAACAAGTGCGTCATTAACCATTAATGGAGAATAAGTTTTGTTGCAAGTTTTCTGATGGTCTACCTTATCTTTTAATGTCTAAGGTCAGTGTTGAGTCAAATTGAGGTTAAGGTGAGACTAGGGTTAGGAGTCAGAAATAAGGCTGTTTAGAGATACAGGTTATATTAATGTTTGGAGTTAGGGCTTAAGATTTAATAGGAGCTTGGAGATAGGCCTACGATCATGGTAAATATCAGGAGTTAAAGTAACGCGCAATCGCCCTGCTGAGCAGTCTGAGTATTCGGAGATCCAAATCAACAACAAACTTAAAGGTTTTAACAAGTCTTCACCCGGACTTCTCTAAATAGTATGTTGAATGTCAATCGGTGTCTGCTGGTTTATCTTTACGTTAAATACGTATAAGTATTTTAGAAGTGGTTTGACCACTGGCAGCAGTAAAGAACAGCCACCAAAGTTGAATGACCTTGAATCTACCAATATGATGGCTCAGCATTATACATGGATATTGTCCACAATCTTCGTTGCAAGTTTCACCAGATGTTTTAATACTAATAATGGAATGACTAGTCCTCCTAGACACCACCATTCACACATTCGAGTGAAAACGTTATTCGCAACTCTCATTATTACACTATGATCATCATAAAGTCAATCATTCAGATTCAGATTTATTGGTTGAGGATAGAAGGCTTGGAGCCTATGTTAGTCCTTTTCTAGTAAATTTCTGTGGTTGTCCAAACCCTTCTTGAATGAATCAGCTGACGTTGGTTGTAAATTAGTAGATCCCAGAAGTGGATACACTTAAGTGACCAAAATGCATATGCCTGGATATAATTGACACGTAAATTACTTGATAAATTCCTATCCGGACCGTAAGATTGCCTAAACTTCCGTTGTTATGTTTCTATTTACCAAAAATATGCGACAAAAATAATTCTGTTCATGTAAGCAGATAGGTAAGATTTAGGTTTACATATTACTAAATAGATAGAATTACTAGGCTTGTTTGAAGTGAAGTGAGCGATTCCTTACCAATCTGAAGGTAGCGTACACGAAGATTCTGCGCCTATTCAATATCCAATATCGTTTTTACGAGCTAGTATAAACCAATTTGATTTCTTTGCTCTCGCCTCTTGATTGTGAGGTAGAGGTTCCTGATCTTTGGTAAATGTCTGTGTACCTCTTCCCGCCACTCGACTGTCGTAGCTTTGGTTGACTCCAACAGGAGTAGTGCTGGGATTAATTATATGGGGTTTGTAGTATGAAGTGTGTTAAGCCTGTTACTACTGTGAATGGAGTTGATTCTTTCACCAGTTAGTCTTTCGGTATCGTCGTCAATGGAAAAGAGATAATAATAGATATAATTAGTAAAGGTATTCAGACTAACAGACAGAAAAAATAAGAAAACGTAACAACAGTCAGTCAAACGGTATATATATATATATATACCAGTAATAATGATAATGATGATGATAATAATAATAAGTGTAGTTAAAGCTGTCAGGAGAGTAAGACTGAAGGGAATGTGAAGAAGTAAAACGACCAGTTTAATTGTCTACCTTTGAATGGTATATGCGATTTTATAGGGATAGGCCATTTGGATGCAGTCCTTGTGTCGCTGCATTGTTGTCCAGCCTTCGCTTAAAGGCGTCCACAGATGGTGCTATAGCTACATCTGCCGGTAAGGAATTCCAGGGACGGCAAACCCGCAGGGAAAAGAAGTGGGAGCGCACCCGGGTCCTTGCCCTCTGATGAGCTATCCTTCTAGGATTTTCACGAGGTAGCCTATACCTATTCAATGGCAGAACACCTTTGTTTGGGTGATTCTGATCATTTGTTATTTTGTAGGCAGTAATTAAATCCCCCCTCAGGCGACGGTAACTGAGTGTGAATAGGCCTAATTTCTTCAGCCTTTCGTCATATGGTTTATTTCGGAGACCAACCACTCCTTTTGTCGCCCGTCGTTGGACTCTTTCCAAGAGGTTGGAGTCTCTTTTAAGCAGTGGGGGTGCAATGATATTATGCACTTCAAGATGCGGTCTGACGTATGTTTTATACAACCTTAGAAAGAGCTCAGGAGTGAGTGCACCTAATTGTCTATGTGTAAAGTGTATGACCGCATATGTCCTCGCTACATCCCCCGTGTAATTCACGCTTGTGTCCATTTTCTCCGTTAGAACTAGACCTAAGTCACGTTCCGATGTTGAGCAGGACAAGCTTTCATTGCACAGGGTGTAACTTGCATTCTGCAGTCTACAGGTGCGTAACTTCACTACTTTGCACTTTTTCTGGTTGAAAGTCATTCCACTGGTTACCGCCCAGTCTTCCAGAAGCCTTAGATCTGCCTGCAGTCTATCTGAGTCCTCCGGACGCTTTATCGCCCTCCGTATCTTTACGTCATCAGCGTATAGAAGAGTCGGGCAGTTTAGATGGCATGGTAAATCATTGATAAAAATCAAGAACATCAGTGGTCCCAGGATAGAACCCTGCGACACTCCTGATGACGAGCTGTGCCAAGATGATCGGACTCGATTGACCTTGGTGCAAAATTCCCTTTAAGTTAGGTAGTCTTCCAACCATGACAGAAGTGGTTTACCTAGACCTACCCGGCTTATTTTGTGTAGGAGAAGGTCATGGTGAACAGTGTCAAATGCCTTCTCAAAGTCTAGAAAGATCACATAGACAGGAACATTCATATCCCAGCATGATGTCCAATCGTCCCAAGCTGATAATAAGTTAGTGACGCAGGATCTTCCTTTCCTGAAACCGTGTTGGGCTTCATGGAGTATTTTAGACCTATCCAGATATTCCCTGATGTGATCATCAATAATACTTTCCAGTACTTTCGATACCACTGGGAGTAGAGCTACTGGTCTATAACTGGTGGGATTTTGCCTATCCCCACCCTTGAAGATCGGAGAAAGGATGCTTCTTTTCCATTCCTTTGGCAGTTTCCCCGATTCCATGGAGTGTTGGAACAAGTCGCATAAAGGCCTACAGAGAGCTTCGGCGCACTGTTTCAGAACAGATGGCCTGATGTCATCACAACCTGGGGACTTCCCAGGTATGAGTCGCCTAGTATTCAAAAATCAATTACCAGTTTCCAGACTCTTGAAATTAAGAATATGGGATTTTGTAGGTGTTCGGATTAGTTTCAGTGTACATTTTGTCACCAACCAACGTCATTTGGAAAAATCATTAGCAAAATCTATGCTGAAATTAATCCAAATCTTTACAAAGGACCAGAAAATAAACGTTAATATGCAGCTTATTGGTGGCAACTGGATGTGTGACCTGAAGCTGTTCTGAGAGAGCCACAACCAGTAGTGTCTACCATGCCAACGTGAGGTGGATGCTAACGAAATTCAGTGATGAGCGTAGTCCATTATCACGAGTAGACAAAGTTACAATTTTGTAGTCACTGAATTCAAACTTTGAAATGGGGGATGAATTTTACAAGCTGTTGCTTAATTTCGGCTTTTGTTGTCTTGTACGCTCCAAAAGTCGATGGTTTAACCTTAAATAAGTTTATTCCGATCGGAGTTAGTTTATGTTTCTGTTTTGAGTGTATTTAATTATAGGAAGTTGTGTTCTTATAACTTGGTAGTTATATATATCCATTTTTGTGCACTTATTGGTTGTTTTCTATCATTGATTTATAAAGATCATATATATAAGTTCATATTTGAATCTTTTTGTCCCAATTCACTCTGAGAAGCCTGCTTGTCAAAAGTAACCGCTGTGGAAGCTATGCGCAAACTTCCAGTTGAAGAAGAAATGCGGACTGAAAGCTGCATGAGATAATAATAATAATAATTTCATAACACATGCACAAGTCTAACTCCTGCAGCACAAAACCGCTGCAGTGAACCTCTGGAAAACTGTCTGTGCAATGACTGCTGTAGTACACAGTAGCACAGAAGAGCACCCACCATATTCCAGACAGCCATGCTGCTCCTACAATACCGGATAAGCCCTCCAGTGACAGTAATAGAAAGACTGGCACGAAGAAATGGCGTACCACTGGGCGAAAACCTGCAGCTAAAGTCGCCCAGAGACTTGTAGATCAAGTCTCATACACACCGGTGGATAGCAGACAGACACAATCGACTACGTTAGCGAAGAAAGGACGGAAAGACAATTACACCGCAGTGCAAGAAAGCCATGGCAAGCAAATCTGATCTGTCTGACAGGTCGCTCGTTCTCCAAAAAGTGGAAGAATCACCGGCCCTAGTTTTGAGCATGATTTTAACTTGGTCAAGCCCCACAACGACATCAGGCGCAACCATACACAGCATACATAGAATCAGCCCAAAGCCTAACTTAACAGTAAATCAGTCGGTACGCCTTCTCAAAGTCGTACTAAACTCTAGAGAAGAGAGAGGTGCCATTCTAAGCAACTACCAAACTCTTAAAGGATAAGGCCTATATGTCTGTGCCGACTTATGCCTAGCAGACCGTGTCAAAGACAGTGTGCGGATCTAGAATTAAACGACCGACGCCAAAACGGCGCGAAAATCCTCAAGATTAAGGATTTTTGGGTTGTCAGAGTTCGAAGTTTGATGGCCCCGAATCCTCATCACAATAAATGCGCCACTTGCAACAGATATTGAGAGGTAGAACAGTGAAGGAGTCAGTACTGAAGCATGGCTGAATGCTAGGGATGCTGACTCCTGTCTCAGAAAATCGGCACGCATTGCAGACTGAATAATGGGTGTAGACGTATAACAAAGAATATACTGAATCAACAGAATCTCTGATTTCTAAGTTGAGAACTGAAGCCCGATCTTTCGATTGTGTCGTCAGTAGTTTGAATATGGTATGCCGAATCAAATTCATCAATTTCATTCGAGGACTTCAACATAAAACATGTGAAAATTTCTACAAAACTCTGTCGAAATCCCTGAAAAAGGAGAAATTGTGTGACGTTTTCCCAGAAAATGCTGAAAACTTTATCTGTAATCTGTCGAGTCTGAAGTTAAATCGCATTGAAATAGAAGCACTTTCACTTGGGTATAACTTTCATATCCCAAATAAGTTTGTCGGAAGAACTGATGTCGCCGTTCAATTTGAAAACTTATTCTATCAGCTGAGTGACCTCACTGCAGTTGATGATGGCAAGAGGAGCTGGTTCAAATCTAAGCTCGTCGACGTTGCAAATCAATACCTCATTTCTCTAATGTCATATTCAAAAGTCCTTTCTGAAGAGCATCTAAGAGCGTTGAAAGGTCTCAAGAATAATGACAAAATTGTCATATTGCGACCTGACAAAGGCTCAGGAGTGGTGCTGATAAACAAAGAGGACTACATTGCAAAGATGAAAGCTGTGTTAAATGACCCGTTCATTGGAGCACATCAAGAGTTATAGAAATATTGTCTTCGCATTAACGAAAAAACCCAAGTATGTTTTGGATGGATAACAAATACTTGTGAAAAAAATAAAACTTGAAGTAATTCCCCCATATAACTTTGGTGTGTACGGCATCGAGTCTTATTCTTGATTTATATCCTAACATGGTAATAATTTAAAATGAATGATACACTTGTATAGTTTTGTCAGCATTTTCATTGTAACATCACAAGTGAATTGTACATAGTGTAGACTAATAAGAATGATAGTTTGTACTTTCTTATAAAGGGGTGTTTTCAAGAAATGTAAGCTATTTTTACAGACACGATCAGTTATGTTTTAGATTACAATCGTGCAGTATTATAAATCAATACTTCTATATTGAACAAAGAAAGAAGAAACATTGGCGCAGAATAACCTGGATCCATTTTATTGGTTACCCACAAAGTTTCATTAACAAATATGGCAAGGATGAACTCAAGAAGCTTGATACTGCTACAGTCAGTAAGAAACCTATTTTCATTAAACTCGACTACAAGGGCGACGACATTATGAGAATGATAAATAAAAGATTAGGCGCAGCCCTGTCTAGGACGTATCCTGCAGCCTCATTAGTCTCTATATCCGGAACAACCTCTTCACTGGTGCAGTCAAAGATTGACAAATACCCCTCACATGTTACCTCCGACTGTGTATACCAATTTTACATGTATCTGCGGGAGCAGTTACATTGAAAGAACCGAGAGGGGGCCTACGTCAGATTCTGTGGAGACGTTTTCACGGAGTGTTGACTTAAAGGGTTTTATCGTCACTGTGCAAGTTTGGTTATGCAGATCGTAAGAGCCTTCCTGTGCGAGTTATATGTCCTGAGACTAAACTTGACACTTTACTATAAGCTTCTAAACCACTTAGTTTTTACCTCTACTAACGGCACTCCACATTCAGATGACAATGACTACAAACTAAGACACACTAAGGGTACAGTAGCTATCGAACAATGTAAAACAGCCACCAGGCAAAAGTTTTACTTGATTAGGTATGCACAGATATGGAATAAACTGCCAATGGAAATGCGTCAAGCAAGTACGTTGGCCTCCTTCAAAAAGGTGCTTAATGACAAACTATAAGAGTTTGCAAACGATAGTAGTTCTAGTTCCTATCTGAGAGCCTCCGAAATTATAGGTCCATTTAATGTATAAGCTTAAATACTACACCTGTTGTTTTTTGCCTATATTTATTATTCTAGATAAAGCATTAACGGTTAAGATACGTATCCTCAAACAGACAAGAAATCTCGTTTGTAAAACTACTACCCAACACAATGAGTGGAATAAAATGGACATAAACCGACAACATGAAAAAGGTATAACTCACCACAACATCACATGGACAGATGAACGCTCGTTGGGCACCATATATCCCTCACCAACTGCAACCCACCTTTCCTTGAATTATGTGATGAACTTATATCCATAATGTTGCTGAGCAGTTAATATTCTCAACTCCTGTCGGAACAGCTGAAACTCATAAACCTTCCTCACGCTAAGAAAATACCCACGAGCAGTAGAAATCCAATAATTAATGCTTCTGAAGCCTATGTATTTACTCCCAACAATGACATTGCAGATCAAATGAGATAAACATATCACTGATTTCAAAATAACACATCAATGAACTATAATTCGAGGACTCTGCACACAACAAAGTTATGTATGAATATTGACTTCAAGCTTTATTTTTCCCCAGGCACTTATAATCCATCCACGAAAGACCTGGTTTTTTGTTAATGCGAAGACAATACTTCTGTATTTCCTGATGTGTTGCACTCACTGATAGTCTAGCAGATTTTTCCAACTTTGCACAGAAAGGATTGTATACAAGTGAAAAGGCTGTTTTATACTACTGGAATTAACATTTATCAAGTGTATGTATAATCTCCAGCGAACATGTAAAGCATGTCTTGCTACTGCCTGTAAATTGTGATTGAATAATATGGTTCTATTTCTGTAACAATTTGATGATGCCTGTAAACTGGCATCCCTCATGTACTGTACTATCAGAATAAATTTATTTGTTTATTGTCTGAGAATGATGTTTTGTGTAGAACCTTAAAGAAGAATACTATGCTTATAATAAGTCATCTTGTCCAGAGCGGGCCAAGGTGTAAAATCGCGCACCGTGAGACGTAGCCTTTCTTACAATCGTAGCCAAGTAGTTTGGGGCTAAAATGTCGTTAGATGCTTTCCATCCTTAGCTTGTCACGTGTGCAAGTGCCGCTAATAATAAATGGACAGTATTCTAGTGGTAGCCTTACACAGGTTTTGTACAGAATTAGCTTGGCTTCATTGTCGCGAAAGTTCCTGAGTACGCATCCTGAGAGCACCCTTGACTTTGGAGCCTGTGATGCCACTTGCTCACAAAGTGTTAGGTCACTCAAGTGCCTCATGCCTAAGTCAACAGCACTTGAGTTTCTGGTTAGGTAAGCAGATTGAAGCTTCAATTGCATGTCGATTGAAGGTTCGCCAAAGCAGATCCAACCACATTTATCCAGATTAAATTGTAGATTCCATAAAGAATACCAAGCAGTCGCTTTATCTAATTCTTTCTGCACAACATTCTGGAAGTACCCTAGGTCATCACGCTGGAATGTACAGGCTACTTTTGGGTCATCTGCCAGTATGAATGGTTTCCCATGTGAGAAACAGGCGCATTTCTCATTGATATAAAGTGCAAATAGGAGCGGCCCAGTGACACTATCTTGTACTACACTAGAAGTGATTGGGCTAGGTTTCGAAGTTACAGACCCCAGTTAAACTACTTGGGACCTGTTGTTAAGGAATCATTTAAGCCATCCTAATAGTGGATCACATATTCCTAAGGAGTTCAGCTTATGTATTAGTAGTAAATGGCCGACACGGTCAAATGCCCTAGAAATGTCAAAGTAGATGACAAGTATTAGTTGCCGTCTCTCACGACTGCTGGTCACAAAATTGAAGAAGTCTAGGTGGCATGTCAAACAAGATCTGGATTTTAGGAATCCATGCTGGTTCGGACTTACAATGTTGCAGCTTAGCATATAATAATAATAATTTGCTTTATTCCAAAACAGTACTTGTGATACAGAATGGAATTCTCAGCATTTTTACTACAGTATTGCATCCAGTTAGTACATTATCAATAAATAGAATTCTACATAGATTGAGGAAATCAACAGTTCATTATTACAACAATACATTGGCATGTCAGTAGCAAAGGTAAAGCTGAAACAGTGTTTGAAGTTGTTATAAAAGTGGGAGCTGTCTTATTAACAGGCGTAAGCGAGAGAAAGAGACAAAGCAGCACATAACGGAAAAGGAAGAGAGAGAAAAGGAAAAGAAAGAAAGAAAATGTTGTACATATTGATGATGTGGGCTGGAAAGACGAGATCCAGTTGTTCTACTGACTATTTAATGAATTATAGGTGTCACGCCTAATGCTTTCTTTATCACACAGAACACGAGCTAAGTAGGGTATGGTTGGGTTTTTGTACTTTCTGGTGCGAGCATATAGTTTTCTATATTGGCTTCTGGTCCTACCTGATGAGATGCAGGGGGAGAGTTG